ACTCAGTGCTTGGTGCAAAAGTATCGATACCATAATTACTTGGTATCGAACGAAAAGTATCGAGTATGTACTTGTATTTACTCGTATCATTAACTTGAGTTATGATTTTTTTCTACATCGAAGTTTAGTAAAATGAGTACGTTACAAATTTACAAATCTTTTCAATTGTTTTTAGAATTTTTTTGAGTGTGCAGTTTTGTAGCCCATTATATTTTAGAATAATAAAGTGCAAATTTTAAGCTACTGCAAAATTGCGTTGATTTTTAATATTTTTTAGGCCTACGGCTTTTTGCACTTTTTTCTAATGGAAGAAAATGCGTAGAACCGTTTTCAAAAAAAATTATTAAAAAATTAACGTCAGTTTTACAATCGCTTTAAACTTGCTCTTTATAATACTAAAATTAAATGGGCTACAAAGCTGCACATTCAAAAAAATTTTAAAATTTGTAAATTTGTAATGTACTCATTTTACTCAACTCTGGTGTAAAAAAAAAATCATAACTCAATTTAGTGTAGAGTGCACCCCATATATACTTAAATATTGCGCAATACTCAGAGCTATCATTGTAATTTTTAACCGACTTCCAAAAAAGGAGGAGGTTATCAGTTCGTCGGAATATTTTTTTATTTTTTTTATTTTTTTTTTTTATGTATGTTACCGCATAACTTTGGACCACGTCAACCGATTTCGATAATTCCTTTTGCATCGGAAAGGTAGTGTCTCAGAGGTAGTCCCATACTAATCTGGTTAAGATCCGATCAGCGGATCATGAGATATATATATATATATTTTTTTTTTATATGAGAGTTGAAGTCGGGGTTTTTTTTTGCTAAAAATTACTAGTTTTCAATATTTTTTTTTCTGAGATGGCATATTTTCAAAAACTATTTTTTTTATCAAAAATTTAGTATGTAAAAAACTTTTCAAGTAAAAAAATTTCTAAAATATTCATAGAGAATTTTGATGTGTGTATGTGTGATTTTTGTCCATTTTTTTCGCCCCGTTCTCGAGATATTGGAAAACTATTAAATCGATTTGTTTTTGTGCTGTAGGGTTTTTAAAAATGTATTAATCAATTTCATATTTATTTATTGTTTATATATGTGCATCAACCCTAAAAATTTGAAACAAATCAAACACATAAAGTGTGAACCCCGTCCATTTAGGTATCGAATGCCCCATATACAAGCTAAGTTATGAACACGAGTTGTACATGCTTGAATTGATTCTTTGACTTTTAAGGAAATTTCCACGGCATAAGCAAGTTAAATATAAGCTTGTAAGTACCAAAAAAAAAAATTTTATAACTATATACGAGCAGCTTCTTGTAACGTTTTCTACAACACCAGAAAAACTAACGAATGTTAGCGGGCAAATCAACAAACTTTTTTCCACATTAAGAATTTTCATACAATTTTTTTTGTGATCGCCATGTGGAGGTCTCCTGAATATTAGCGCACTGGACCGCGGCTACTTCGGCACATGCTTTAATCCGGTCCGGGCCTGACTCCGGTTCGGGCTTTACTATTTATACAAGTCAAAGGATTCAGCAGAGAAACTTGAGTTAAGTTATTTCATATTTTTTTTAATAATACTTTTCCCTCTCTCTTAGGGGCCTGCAAAGCATCCATTGTAACAGCTTTATGACACTTTGAAAGTTATAAATTAAAAAACAAACTCATAAAAACAAAACATGCATACGCACAAGAGCATTTTTTTCGCTAACCCTCAACAACTATGCAAAACTTTTCTTAGTTCACTGAAGCGCACTTTCATACATAAGTGTGCCACTAAGTGAAAATACTACATTATAGCGATTACGAAATTTACATAACTATTTTTGCACAAAATAACCTTAAATGACGGGTCGTAAAACAGGCAAAAAAACAAACGATAAAACGTGCTAATTACGAGGAAGCGAATTGCAACTGAGCCCAATAAACGAGCAAACATTGTACGAAATCTGTAGTAACCCATTAAGGGCCAATTTCACAATGCGAAGTTAACTCAGAATCGGGAGTTAACTACAGAATTTTGTACTGAAAATCTCTAGTTAACTGTCGATTCTGAGTTAACTACGCACTGTGAAATTGGCCCTAAAAGTCAGAATGGCAGGTGGCCTGCACATTTCAGAAAGCTGTTTCTGCTTAGAGTAGAGAAGTATGAATGCAAGATCCGTTTGATTCCAGTTTAAAATACAAATAAAAACTTTAAATTTTAATTTAAGTGAAAAATGATTTCTTATATTTGAATTTAATATGGAAACTAACAGAAAAACAAATCATTTTTCACTTAAATTGCTTTCGTTAAGCCGGCAGTAAGTGTCGAATTTTTCAAATCGTTACTGAACGATGACACGTAAATAATGTATATATAACTCTATACAGAGTATATTCAACAGGTGACTAATTTAAGTTGTCAATATGTAGCAAGGTGGGCATAGGTGTAGAAGTCGTGAAAATATAAACTCAAAAAGCAGACCCACGGTATTACTGAAAGGTCGTTGGACCTTGAATGCTTCTGTACTCATTCCCCTGGATTGCGGGTGATCGGGCTTCGCCTCTGAAGAATAGTGAAGAGGTACATTCAATTTCATCTAGTTCAGGAAGTGCTTACTCGCGTAAACGCTGTAGATTTGTGTGATGGTTGAACCTTTCAGAATGCATTACCTTACCACAAGTGCTGTCAATTTCCACTCGTGGGAGTACTACCTGGAGTATAAACTCTATGTTCTTTCCTCGCATAGTTTGACACAGTGGTGGGCAAATAATAAGTACTAAGCAAAAAAAATATTAAGGTACATCTATATTTTGTAGTAAATACCAAACAAACTTAAGTATTTTGTATGTTACTAAATACCGAGAGCGATAGTATTTTCACAGCACTAAATACCAAGTACAAAGGTAATTATGTAGTTAGTTTTACCTAAGGAAATTCCGTGTAGAAAAATACTTAGAGACTTTGACTCAAATCCTTTTGCCTTTCCATTTTAATTCCGAAAAGGCAGCGCACTTTCTAAATCTCTTCCTGGTTCACTGCAGCAAAATTCCGTTGATTAATTTACAACTTAGCATCCAGCCACATGAGACATTTTTTGATTAAAGTGTGTGTGTGTGTATGCTATACCTATCTGTTATCTCCTTGCTAAGGTTGACAGCAGTGTGTTTACCAGAAGCGATGTAATGCTACAAAAAACGTACGGCAGCATTTTATATTTCTTTTTGTTGCTACGCATGTATTTTGTAGTATAGCTACGGTGACCATAAATATGGATTCGAAATGAAGGACAATTTTTCAAAAATATGCCTACATATATTTACGTAGTATAAAAATATCAAAAGAGTATTTATGATTCTAAATTCTTAATACATTTTAAACTTTAAAAATGAATCACGTTTTCTTCATTGATATTAATCTGTTTTTACATGAATATTTATAAAAGTATAGTTAAACATATTATAATTACAATAGCTTACACAAAAAGTGGAAATCTTTAAAAGATTATTTTATAGGCAAATTTTGAGTCGTTCAAAACGAAAACAATACCCTTCTTTTTTTTGTTTTTTTGGTACTTTTCGCAGTTATTTGTCAAAAATCGACGCCATGAATCGATGTAAACGACGAGTTACAAAGTGCCCTTTACAAAAATATATAATTTGTGCAGATTGCGCTCCATAGCATCTACATTTCTAATCCGATTTTCATTATCTTTGGCTCAAAGTTTACTGTAATGATATATCTTCTTTATCGAATTTCTTAAATAATGAAAGAAATAATCAAATGAAAATGCGTATTTGATTGAAAATCTCACTTTTTTCGCCAGTAGCACTAATAATTTTCATTGAAGTCGCCACAAGTTATACATTTTGTAAAGAGGCACATCAATACCATTCGAGCTGTAAGTCGCTTACGTTAATTTGGAGATTTTTTCATGAGATATTGAAGAAAAGCTACGAAAAGTACCAAAACACACTTTTTTCCATTGTCCGATAATTTTAAAATAACGAATAAAATGCGGGACAAATGCAGGACACTTGGAAAAAATCAGTACATTTTCAGTTTTTTCAGGTTTGAAAAACTACGCAGGACTGACCTTTGAAAAACAGTACGGTCCTGCAAAAAACAGAACGGATGGTCACCGTAAGCATAGATCGCTTCTAGCAAGCACTCAGCCGTCAACCTTAGATACTTGTTAAATATTTATTTCACTGAATAATTTTTATATTAGCTTGCCTAAAATAAACTCAACTACATTAAGCTCATACAATTTAATTAAGTACACAAAATGAAACTATGTATACATATGTGCTGCAGGCCGTACGATTAATGGACCCCATAAGAACAAAATAATAGATTGGCGTTAGTAGTGTTTGGCCGAGCTTCTCCTCCATAGTAATAACCATTTTTGAAATTTTTTTTTGGCAAAATCTATAGAACTTTTTATTCCTTTTAAAAAACTCTAGAACTTTTGAAAAGCTACTCGGAATAGCCTTTGTTTTTGTATTTTATCGTCATACTATATGCCAACTTCACAGACACTACACACGAGGCAACGGTCGAAGCAATATGCCTGGCTGCTTCAACGGTTGCCTCGTGTGTAGTCAGCAATATATGAATGGGCTTATAATGGTTAAAATATGTACATATATTAAATATCGGAGGCCTATGCTATCAATTCTCTATAAAAATCCCGCTTTATATTTGCTCCTACCTCTGAACCAATAAAAATGCGTTTCGCTACGAGTGCAATTAAAAAGCGTTCTTACTTCTTTTCAAAAAAAGTTGAAGTTTTCCCATTACCTCAAGTTTTGCTTCAGGGTTTATAGCTGTGACTGGTTGCTTAATAAGCTTATATACTCGTAGAATCGTTCTTACGGTGATGGTAGGTTACATAAGGCAATTGCGTAATCCAGTTTTTCTTGTATGTATGTATGTACCTTACTATTGTTGTTACTTTGCACTACTTATTTTTATTCTCCTTTTTTATCGTTTCTTGCAGCCGCTGTTGTCGTAACATTTTTCATATGTTGGCTGCCATTTCATATGCAGCGTCTTTGGTTCCTCTATGCCAAGGAAAACAACAATTTCCAAGAGATAAACGAATGGATGTTCTCTATTGCCGGCTTCACTTACTATGTGTCGTGGTAAGTACATTTTTGCTGAGGCAAATGATTGCATGTAGACTAACTTCAAACTTAAAGCAGAGCGAATAATGTGGCATATTCATTTAAGTATAAAAATTTATATACTTTGGTGTACTTACATGTAAATCTGTAAATACATATGTACATATGTACAGTCATAGGTACATAAGACTGGTTTTATTTTCATACAAATAAATATTCGTTACCCAACTCAAACACCTCCGCCCTCGCCTCCCTACAAAGAAAGTTTTCTTAGCGAAGTGTTTGGTGTAGTAAAAATGTTCGTTCTTTTCGGGTTTTAAAAAATAGCCAAAATTCAAATCTCTTTTTCTTCCTAGATTTTTTATTTTTTACTCGATTTCAAAACGTGATACTTGGTTGAAATGATATTTTTATGTACTAAACATTTCTCTACATTTCTTTTGGGTACCTCATTAACTAAATAATTTTTAATAACTCAAATTCAACCCAGCTAAATATTAGCAACTTTAATGTTCATAAATTAAATGTTTTATTAAGCGAAGACTTTCATTCTTTACGTGCGTAATAATAAATAAATAAACCAAAAGGTTGTCAGAGAGAGAGAGAGAGAGAGAGAGAGAGAAAGAAACATGCGTAACCGTCGCACGTACACGGTTAATTTGTCACAAAGCCGTAAATATTGGCGTAAGTCAAAAATTGTCGGTAGGTTAGTGATGCTTTTATGTAAAATAATGACATTTTTCGTTTTGTGCCGTTGTTCATTAATACCAGTTGAGTTATTTTCGTTTAGCTTCTTAGGTGTTGTTACTTATTTTGTATTTTTTCAGTCCAACCCTTAATAACTATTTAGAAAAAGTCATAATTTGAAGTTTAGATAATTGATCTAAAACAACCAAATTAATTCTAAAAATACAATAAAACTACTAAATCTTTAGTAACTCGCTGCCCTTTATTTCGCCTGCTAAAATAAATATGTTGGTATATAGAAATATTTATGTTTTGGTCTATTGTATGTGCCATATATCATGTAAGATTAGAAATCTATGCAACAGTACGTTTCCACGATTTCGAATTCGTTAGATCAACACTCAATTTTCCCCAAGTTCCGCCGGTAATTTTTTAATCAGTATAAAATTATACAAATTGATACTTCTTGTGAAAGTGTAGCTCAAACAAATTTTTTCTCACACATGGACGGACACCCTAATTTATAAGTACATATAGTTGCACCTTTATATTTTCCATTGCGTGAATACGCATTATATAGTTTTTCTTGCCGAGCAGTGCTTTCTATTAAACAAATACATATATGTATGTATGTGCTCAAAAAAATCTGCTTATCGTAAAAAGGAAAACAAAGTGATGTCGTAATAGAAGACAAATAAAAAAATAAAGCAAAATATGTTTGTCAATATTGCGGCAGTTTTTCTTTAGCTAAGGCAGTCTATAAAATTTTGCTTATCGTTTTCAAAACCCAGCTACTTAAGTAGTATCTTTACGCTTACATTTGGATTTTGGTGCGATTAATAACTACGGTAAATATTGAATTATTTGATAAAGTTGCACATATGAATTTACGTAAATGCATTTGCATATTTGCTTCTTCTCATTACATGCATATTTGTATACGTAGGTGAGTAAAAATTCCTGTAGTGGCCCCCTCGATTTTCACAAAGTAACGAATATTGCAATAAATATTTGCAGTTCATAGCTTGAGTATCCACAAATATATTAGCAAAATAATTCGCTAGTATAAGGTTTTTCTAAATAATTTTTTATTTTTTTTTGTTAACTTAATATTTATGGAACTCATTTTCTTGATAAGAATCCCGACCTAAGTTTCCACGAGATTTTCATAAAACTTTGTGAGTACGTAAAAAACTAGTTTTCTAAAAGACGATAAGAAATTTTTTTAGCAATTTTAAATTTTTAACACTTTTTTAAAAATGTTCTTTTTTTGCTTTGATACAATTTTTAAAAAATTTTTGTTTTGATTTTTACCGCGATTAAGTGTGAAAATGTTCCTAGCAATATTTTTTGCTAATGTGCTCAAAAAAAATTTTATTTTATGGCGATTTATGTCTTAAACCAATTTTATCATAGTGGGGAACAATGTTGGGGAACTAAGTCAGTTGGGTAATTTTGGTGAAATACTTAACCATCGCAGTTGCGTACATATGTAACGTATACGCCCCATAGCACCATACGCAGTTATGTAATACGTTCAATCGAACGTCTTAATTTAAGTCATATCCGGGGGGTCGCTTCGGGAATTTTCACTCAAGTGTACATGGGCAAATCTAAAAAACAGTTAACCTTGTTGTTATGTAGCTTTGTTTTCACTGTTGGAAACTATATCAAGCTGGTTGCTTTTGGATATAATTCATTGACGTATACTTGAAGCCTCAAAAAAATTTGGATCAATTTGCTGCATAACTTTTGAATTATAGGTGTTTAAATTAAAAAAAAAAATAATGAAAACAAGTGAATTTTTTATGTAATTTTTAAGAGGGGAAAAATTAATTATGTCATAACTTTTGAAGCACACCATATCTGATTTGAAATTTAATGGGCATTTATCACTTCCCTACAAGACATTGCTGAGCACTTTAGGCAAAAATTCTCACACATTTACACTTTTGTTCTTGTAGTACGGCATAAATGAGTAGTTTGACTATTAGTACTGAGGACTTTCTGATGACAACATTGAGGGGAAAGTACTCAATTTTTTCCCATGGCCTGAACGAAAATGAGCACTTTGATAAGCACTTTTGTGATTAGGAGTAATGATAATATGAGTACTCATATGATACTCAGCTGTCTTGTAGGGTTATGTGTATATTTCATATGTAGTAGTTAAGAAAAGTGTGCATTAAAAAATAACGAAATGGCAAGTAACTCAAAGTCTGTAGCTCCACATTTCACAATTTTTAAAATTTTCGGTTTATCGTGTATAGTTTTTGAAGCATTTAATTTTAAGAACTTTTTAAGTATGTATTGTATTCTACAAACAATTACGAATAATTTGCTACCTTAGCAAGAGGTGTGCTGTCAGAATAAACCAACTTTTAAAGATAAAATATTCTGCGATCTTGAGCATAATTTTTATTCCAAAAATATCTTAATTGAAGGCACATTTGGAAAATACGTTGAAACGATCTAAATATCTTTATAACTACAAGTCCTTATAACGTTGCATAAACCTGTAAAAGGCTTCAAAAAGATGTTCTCTAGAAGTGTGTAAAACCCCTAATTTAGTACTTTGAATTATGCTCCTTCTTGCAGTCAGAATATTTCGAGCGTGTTACCAAATCAAATATTTTTTCGGCAAAGGTTCTGATAGTTGCTCTTACTTAATTGGGGCCTTCTAAATTTAATGGCGTCCTCAGTTTTGTCCGATTATCTCCACTTTTGGAGATAGCGGTACTTGAAACTTTGCTTAAATTTGAAATATTTTATAAAAAAAAAACTCCCTCCGTTTTGAAGATATTTTACTAAAATTTTGCACACGCCTGTATATTAATTTTAATTTAGTATAGGTTCACTTTAACATATAGAATGCATACAATTTTTTATTCAGACATGAAGTTAGAGTTATAGCGCAAAAACACACATCTGAGTAATCAGTTGTATTGGAGCTATACGTTAAAGGGTACCCATTTCGATAATTTTAAGCACTAATTAAGGTAATATTGAAAAACCGTTATGTACAAAATTTTAGTAACATAACTTGGAAACTGAAAGAGTTATTTATAAAATAGTTAAAATGTAATCAAATTTACAAATACCGTTATCTCGAAAACCGGAGCCAATCTGGTCAAATGCCATTGAATTTAGAACGTCCCAATTAAGTGAGTTCAACTTTCAAAATCTTTGCTCAAAATTTACAACTTGAACAACGTAATTTAAACCCAGCTTATTCTTTTGTTTTCTATTTCATGTTTATTCCTTGTCTAACTTTGGAAGCACTTGATGAAAATGAGTTACAATTGTATTAATCCATTTATTAAGAGATTACGAATAAAATGATATATAAAACATAGGTGTGCTCACAAATTAAAAATTAACATTTTTTTTGGAGAGTGTACCTATTTTTTAGATTTGCCCACATAAGGATTGTGTCATTAGCCGGGAATAGATTTTTAGGACCTAAAAACCTATAAAAAGAGGCAAAATAAAATAGCGAAATAGGCAGGAAAAGGTACTAGAAATAGCAAAATGGCAAGAGAAGGCAATAAAAAAAGACAAAAAAAAATTAAAAATAACACTGCATATCCAGTTCCTATATAGAATTGCTTGCTAATTCCAAAAGNCTAGAAATAGCAAAATGGCAAGAGAAGGCAATAAAAAAAGACAAAAAAAATTAAAAATAACACTGCATATCCAGTTCCTATATAGAATTGCTTGCTAATTCCAAAAANGAACGTCCCAATTAAGTGAGTTCAACTTTCAAAATCTTTGCTCAAAATTTACAACTTGAACAACGTAATTTAAACCCAGCTTATTCTTTTGTTTTCTATTTCATGTTTATTTCATTGTCTAACTTTGGAAGCACTTGATGAAAAGGAGTTACTATTGTATTAATCCATTTATTAAGAGATTACGAATAAAATGATATATAAAACATAGGTGTGCTCACAAATTAAAAATTAACATTTTTTTTGGAGAGTGTACCTATTTTTTAGATTTGCCCACATAAGGATTGTGTCATTAGCCGGGAATAGATTTTTAGGACCTAAAAACCTATAAAAAGAGGCAAAATAAAATAGCGAAATAGGCAGGAAAAGGTACTAGAAATAGCAAAATGGCAAGAGAAGGCAATAAAAAAAGACAAAAAAAAATTAAAAATAACACTGCATATCCAGTTCCTATATAGAATTGCTTGCTAATTCCAAAAGTCGTAATAATTTTTTATTTTATGGATAAGTTTTCGAGATAAATTCAGGTGTACGTGGCGTAGAGTAACATTCTTTCATGCTAATTTTTCATATAAAACTACTCATGTATGCATGTTCACCACCTCGTTAGCCTTATTATAGACCCAGCTGCCTTATTTTGTTTATTTCCCGGGACACAGTATTTTTTCTTGCTTAAGACGAGTATTCAACTAACGTCCCAAACTGCCGATAAACATCAAAAAATTATAAACCTGCATGAAATTTATAATTTTATCAAGTTTATCGGCAGTTTATCACATTAGCTGGTTTCGTGCATAGAAAAATGAATAAAAACTACAACTATGAGTTCTGTGTTTTCGTGTGCGTATTAAGGGCATACCTAATATACATTTAAGATTTTTCTTTCGGACTTATAATTTTATGAGTCTACCTGAGTCCGCCAAGTATTTGACATATTTTTCCGAAGCTGAACTGAACATAATAACACTACACAAAAAACCTTAGGTCACGTAAACTTAATTTTGGGTCGGAGATCACAGATCTGTACTCCACTTTTCTAGATCACGTCATTTTCAATTCATTAAAATATTTTCAATTAAAGTTGCCATTGCGAATGAAAAAATATGCAAACTTTTACATGGAAATGTTACTCATACGCCATGTATATTACTCCGGAAAAATATAGCGTCTCGCAGTATCTCCATTTAAAATTTAAGGCATTTTTACAGTACAGTATTTTTTGAAACAGTTTTCCAATAAAATAAATGAATTCGTGGTATTATGAGTACCGTTACCACTTTGTACAAAAATTAGAAATATTCAAAAAAGTTGCACAACAACATTATTCTAGTTTAAAGTGTCTAGAAAATACCGTTGATTTAAAAAAAAATGTTTCCCTGCAAAAAAAAAAATAACCAAAAATCAACGCGAATTCTAAGACTATTGAAACATGCACCTTATTATTAACAAGCTAAGAACCTGCATACTTGGAATTTTTATAAAAATATTGAATACAAAGTTTGTTGTTGGGATATTTTTTTTTTCTGCAAAGTTTGAAATGTGGATTTATATAGTGTAAAGTTTTACGTAATTCACTAGATTTTAATAAAGAATTAATAAACATTAAACAAACGAAAGGGAAATGGTCAAAACTGGTCAAAATGTTGTGTCCCTATTTTTTACATAACAGTATACATGTGCGTATTAAAAAATGTAGGCATCCAAAAAAGCATAAATGCAGTATTTTGGAAAAACCACTGTATCCATTTTTGTAATCCAAAATAAATATTATACTGCCAAAAAAATATAGATACGAGCGTTAGTCATGTACGTTACGGCGTATGAGTAACATTATTTACTACTCCTATTTCAAACAAAAAATTTTGCACTTTTCGTTTGACCATTCACAGCTTGTTTATTTACACCGTGCGACATAAACAATAAAATTTCGAAACACATGAAGCAATCAATATACTCAAGAAACTGTGGGCCGAGTATAGTAAAAAAAAATTTTTAGTTCTTCTCTCTGATGTCAGGATTTTTTTTAAGGACTTTGTAATTTTAAAGACATTATTAATTCGAAAAATTGTTTAAAAAATTCATTCCAACGTGCCTTTTTACAGGGTTTAGTGTAACATCAAACACATTTTGCACCGAAGAAGGGCAACATTTTTTGGAAGAAACGAAATTACTATAAAACTTCCTTAAACGTTTTCCTTGTGATACTTCTTCAATTAACTTATACCCTGAATTCAAATATATATACAGATTAAAAAAGGACACAACCCCCTTACATGTAGTTTAGAAATGAAGCCCTTTCAAAACCATTTCGATTCAAAATATTGTATAAATAGTTTGAATTTAACTTTCTGAAGAGTTGGCAACCTTTTTAAACCTCTTTCGTCTTCCACTCACATTGTGGTACATATTGTGGTACATATGCATTCAAATTGCCTAATTCCTATTATTCAAGTTGAACTGGAATTTTCAAATATGTAGAAGCCTTGCTATACATATTTATGTAGCTTGGAAACAAAGCCTTTTCAAGACTTTCGATTAATACCTTCTTATATTGTAATAACTCTTTTAACTTATAATATAATTTTATTTGAATTTAGTTTTAAAATAGGTGGCAGCCATCCTCAAATATTTACTTCAAAAGATTCTACAAGTTCAAGCTAAACATTTCTAAACACTGTTACGTTTTACACTTTAGGTGGCAACCCTCTCCTAAATATTTTCCTACTAAAACCTTATTAACCCCCTTTAGTCTGACACCCATATTGCGATACATATTCCATTTATATAATTCTTTTAATTCAAGTAGAATTGGATTTCTCAAATAGGTGGCAACCGTCCTTTATGTAAAACCCTTTTCAAAAATGGTTCGATTGGCCCCCATATTTCAGAAATTCATTTAAATTAATTGAATTTAATTCTTAATCTCCTCAATAATAATTTCAATGTTCAAGGTTTCTTAACAATACTTCCCTTGCCACTCATATTTTAATTTTTCAGGTAACTTGCGAATAATTTAAATTATCAAACAGGTGGCAGCCCGTTTCAAAATATTTTAAAACTACAGCTTTTTTAAGCCCCTTTTTAATGTACATTTCAAATAAGTAATTCCCTTAATTCCAGTTGAATTGGATTTTTTAAACAAGTGGCAGCCCTCCTCCATCAGTGTGGAATTGATTTCGTATATCCCCATACCAAGTTCCAGTACACTATCACAACTATTTCCAGCGATATGCATTATGAAAAATTCCGTTTGTATAGGAGGTGCCACGCCCCCTTGTGCAATCGAAACTGACAGCCAATTTCATGAAAGCAATTTAAGTTAAAAATGATTTTAATGTTTTGAATTTCCATTTAAATTGCTGGTGAAACCGGCTATAAATCTATCCTATATGTTAAGTTGGGCTAAATGCTATCAGTGTACAAAATTTCATGATGATCGGTTGAGTAGTGTAGCAAATAAACAAGCTCACTTTCGGAATTATAATATTAGTAAGGATATACTATATAAATACATATATGTTCATATGTATTTTTTAACTTGTTTATCAAAATAAATTATATTTTATAAACAACAAAAACCAAAACTAACATTTTTTAATTTTGTCTATTCTATTCCTTTCTCGCCGTTTTAAACAAATTCCGAATTTACAATGAAAATCTTATAACACACATTGAAAACTATCAGCACCATCAATCCCATACTATACAACGTGATGTCACATCGCTATCGAGTCGCTTTCAAGGATATACTTTGGGGCAAACGACGAAGTATGTACTACAATAATGGATTTGCTAGAGATCAGTCTAGCTTCCGAGAAACAACGATTGCGTCAAGCTTAGGTGGCGGTCACAATGGTACATACGATCGAGTGCATTCGGTAAGTGAGTGATATTGTAAAGCTACACAATTTTACATATAAATCTACATATGTATATGGGACGTTCCATACCAAAACGGAACCCCCACTTCATGTGTTTGATTTGTTTCAAATTTTTAGGGTTGATGCATAAACATAAATAATAAAAAAAATATGAAATTTGAGCTCGGTTGATACATTTTTAAAAACATTACAGCACAAAAACAAAAACAAATTGATTTAATAGTTTTCCAACTATCTCGCGAAAATTTTAAACAAATCAAACACATGAAGTGTGAACCCCGTCCGTTTTGGCAAACGTGGCTTGAGATTAAATTTAAATGTAAAATGAGCATATACTTGTTTGTATATTTAGAAAGTGTGTATGTAAATATTTGCTTATTTCTGGCTAGATTGCATTAATTTGCATGTAAATGAAATAAATAAATATGGGCTTGAATGCTTAGTTGTGCATAAAATCGTTCTGATTTGTGTGTGCACAAAAGAATGTTGTGTATGTAGAAGTGTTCGCATGTGCATTCTGGAGCTTAGTCCATTTGAGTGGGAGAAAACATTTGCCATTTTCAGAGTAATCAGTCCAGACGCAAATTATTTGGTTTTTGTGCATTCATCATGNAAACAAATCAAACACATGAAGTGTGAACCCCGTCCGTTTTGGCAAACGTGACTTGAGATTAAATTTAAATGTAAAATGAGCATATACTTGTTTGTATATTTAGAAAGTGTGTATGTAAATATTTGCTTATTTCTGGCTAGATTGCATTAATTTGCATGTAAATGAAATAAATAAATATGGGCTTGAATGCTTAGTTGTGCATAAAATCGTTCTGATTTGTGTGTGCACAAAAGAATGTTGTGTATGTAGAAGTGTTCGCATGTGCATTCTGGAGCTTAGTCCATTTGAGTGGGAGAAAACATTTGCCATTTTCAGAGTAATCAGTCCAGACGCAAATTATTTGGTTTTTGTGCATTCATCATGCGTCATTCTGCAAAACCGCGTAACTGACATTTGCAGCCAAAAATTGGATTTGCTTACACAAACTCTTGGCTTAATCTTTATCCATTCGTCCCGAAATATAGTAGCAAGAAATGCGATGGTATAATCTTGGTCAATGATGGGTTTTCCTCAGAATTGAAAGCCCTACAAAAGTGTACATTGCGGTATAACCTTTACTCCCACCGGCCAGGTAGTACAGGTCACTAATCCCAATTTTTCATGAAATTCTCGTTTTTTTGCCCCTATCTCGAAAATAACGAGAGCTACAGAAAAAATATGAAAATTTCAAGGTAGCAGTGAAAAAAAAAACAATAGTCGCAAAAAAATCGCCCTACTCCTGATATTTCCCTTTCAAGGCAGCTTTGGAATAAAAATTTTAACTAAATCAGCCGTTTCAGTATATGTATTTCATTTAACTTGTTAATTAAATTTATTTTGAATTTATAAAGAGCTGGCAACTCCACACAAAAAATGTGTCCAAATAAAGCTCTCTTTACCTCTCTCTCTCTCTTAAAATACATATTAAAATATTTCATTCAACTTTTTTATTAAATTTTTGGAATCTCGAAAAAGGTGACCCATTTCAAAAAAAAAAAATGTTTCGAAATAAATTTTTCTTCATCCTGCCTCGCTTGGCATCATTGTCAAAATACTTCATTCTCTTCTTAATCAAATTGATTTTGAAATTCTAACAGGTGGCAACCCTTTTCAAAAATATTCTCGAAATAAAGCTTTCTCCAGCCTTTTTCGTTTCATATAAATATTTGGTATAGCTTGTAAATAAACTTATTTAGTGTANTTCGTTTCATATAAATATTTGGTATAGCTTGTAAATAAACTTATTTAGTGCCGTTTTCTTAAGTAGGTTTTATAATTTGTCTGCCCNTTATAGTAAGTATGTATATGATTAAAAATTTGGACTTTAAATTTGAAGAATCACAAAATTGATAATGATGCAAAAATTCCGTAAGTAGATGACTATCATACAGAATTTGTTTAAGAAGAGCTGCCACCTTCTTCAAAAGTTAAAATAAATTTCTTTATAAGTTACATAAAATATTATAAAAATGTAGGCATCAAACGAAACCGGTTCAAAGACGATTTATTTGGAAGATATTTTTAAAGAGCGTTGCCACCTGTTCAAAAAGCTAAAAGCAATTTAATTAGCTAGTTAAGTCAAACATTTTATTTTGGGTATCAAACAAGAGGGGGTTAAGAACGCTTTATAATAGTTTAGGCCAGGGTTGCCACTTGTTTAAAAAGTCAAAATTATTTTGATTAAGAAGTTAAATTAGAATTTTAATATGGGTGTCCAGCAAGAGAGTTTAAGACAGCTTTCTTTTGGAAATATTTTTGAATAGGGTTGCCACTTGTTTAGAGATTAGTTTAATTAACAAGTTAAATGTAATATTTTATAATGGGTGTTCAGCGAGCGGTGTTTTAAATATACTTTATCAACAGTATCAATTAAAATAACAAGCTCAAGGAAATATTTGTATGTGGGTATTAAAAGAGAGAGGTTTACCCAATATTTATTTCGAAAATATGTTTTACGAGGGTGCCACCTGTTTAGAAACTCAAAATCAATTAAAATAACAAGTCAAGGGAAATATTTCAATACGGGTGCCAAACGGGAGAGTCGTAGGATAGTTTCGAAAATATTTTTGACTGGGGTCGCCACCTTTAGCGTTTCGAAATCAATTAAGAAAATTAAATGAAATATTTAAATATGGTTACCATAGAGGTTAAAATTGCGTTATTTAGAAAACTTGTTTGAAGAGGGCTGCCGCTTGTTTAGTAGTTCAAAATAAATTTTATTGACAAGCTATATGAAATGTTTTGATATGGGTTTCCAAAAAGAGCGTTTAAGTAAGCTTTATTTAATAAATATTTTCGAAGAGGGTTCCCATCAGTTTAAAAGTGTCAGTAAAATTAAAAATTAATTACGGACGCCAAAAAAGAAAAGTTAAGGAAAGCTCGAAAATATTTTTGAATTAGGTTGTTACCTATTTTAAAAGTCAAACTTAACTTACTTAATTGATAAAATAATTTTAAAAGCATTTTTTACGAGAGTTTTCACATTTCTAAAATTTATGTAAGTCAACTGCTTTTGTTCATTTTAAATAAAATATTTACAAAAAAGATCCAGTTTTTCATCCTCTACGAATTTCGGTAGACACTTTGGAATGTTAACATATTTAAGGGTAAAGTTCGGAATTAATGCAGAGGAAAATTTTTAGCATTTTTTTGAAAATCAAAAAATTATAACGGGTTTACTTGTTGAAAAATTTACAACAAAAGGTTTCAGGAGGACTCAAATGGTTTACAATGCTAGCTTTCACAGTTTATAAAACAAAAACAAAAAAAAACACATTTATGGCATTTCATGACTATCTACCCTCCTTTCCGCAAAAAATATATACATTTAATTTCATTTCAGATACGCGTACGTTCATTGC